GTTATAATCGGGTTAATATATATATTGTTTGTTCAAAATAAAAAAATGATTTCGGACGATACGATAGCCAGGATTAATTTTCAAAAATGGGAAATTTTCGTTATGCATAGACAAAAATTCAACCCGGAGCAACCCGCAACGTTGAAAATTTTTTTCAAATTGAACATGGTTAATTTCATCGAAAATGGATTGTGGCATCGTGGACGACCTCGTAGTCGTGGCCAGCGAAATCATGTGCATACAACTAAAAAGAAGTTTTGAAAAGTTGCGTTCTAATCTCGACCTTTCAACAGATGAAGAAAGAACATATTTTTTACAAAAGAAAAAACAAGAATCCAGTGTTTGAAAATCTTATTTTATTCCAAAAAAGAACATTACAGCTGCTAGTTTTCAAGTTAATTATTGCATTGCTTGCCACCGGAAACCTTGTTTAGAAGGAAAGTTTGTAAAACATGAGTTTTTAGAATGTGGTACTGTACTACTTTGTTTGCAGATTTTAAAGAAAAAGACTTGATTATAAAGCGTATAAATAAGTTACCAAGAAGTCGCAGTTCAATTAAAAATCGAGTAATAGGATTAGAAAGAAATATTTTTTCGCAAATACATAACGACTTAAATTATGCATAAATGTACTCAATTGCTTTAGATAAGAGTAATGATGTAAATGGTAATGCACAATTAACAGTTTTTGCTCGATATAAATCAGGCAATATAATGAAGGAAAAGCTAATGAAACTAATATATTTTAAGTGTAATGTACCAGTCGATATTTTTAAATAATTTGATATTGCATTTAAAAAAATGGATATTGAGCTACAAAAAATTGTTTCTGTAAAAACATACGGTGCACACAATATAGTGGGGAAAAACTTTGATTTTATTCAGTATCTTAAGTAAAATATTATACACTTTCTGATTGAATTTCATTGTATAATACACCAGCAAGTTCTATGTTCGAAGCAAGGTTTAAAAACATTTTCCAATGTAATGCCAGTTATAATAAAAGTCTTAAACTTTATAAACGCCAGAGGTCTTTATAAACGACGATCTGCACAATTACTAAGGGAAATTGACTTGCAGTATTCAGAGATTTTGACATACAGTAATGTTCGATGGCTAAGTTGCGGTCAAGTTCTTAATCGGTTTGTCATTTCATTAGAAGGAATTAAGCTATTTTTGAATAAAAAAAACAATAGTTTTCAGAAATTTTCAAATAAAGATTGGTTAAATGATTTAATGTTCTTATGCGACATCACTCAGCATTTTAATAAAAAAAATAAAAAAGTTCAAGAAAATGGACAAACTCTTTTAATTAAGGATGTTTGAAAATATTAAAATATTTATGACAAAACTTGACATCTTTACTGTGGATTTGGAAATGAAAATCATGAAATATTATCATCAATTACAAAATCATTTTCAAAACACAATAATTTTTAAAAATACGCTTGACATTCAAGAAAATGCAACTAAAAAATATTTAATGATAATACAGAAAATAAAACAAGTTTTAGAGGAGAGATTTAATCAATTTAAATGTTTGGAAAATATATTTCACTTTATTTTATATCCATATAAAATGGAATTCGGAACAACGAAGTTAACCGAATTTATGTGAACAAATATCCATGACTTAGAAATGGAATTCGTTGAATTTCAAAGCAGCATAATGTGGAAAAATAAGTTTGTAAACATGATTTATAAAGGAAAAAAAATGTCTGAAAGTAGCGCAGATAATAATGATCCCACACTTAAAATTGAAAATATTATAACAAACATATGGGATTCTTTAACAAAAATTTCATATCAATGAATAAACTTGCTAATGTTGTTTTAATAATGTTTGGGTCTACATATTCGTGTGAATAATTGTTTTCTTCAATGAATTTTGTAATCTACCAATAGAAATAAACATGGAAATGAATTGACTGCCAAATGCGTTAAAGTAATAAATACAGAATATGAACCTAATGTGAACCAGCGGGAAGGTTGTAGGTCTCCCGTTCACGTGTCAAGATGGCTAATTTACTTTACCCAATCCCGAGGATGGGGACCCACAAATGTCAGGCGAGTGGAGGGAGAGAATCGGGGGTCGACGATAAGGTGAAGGGCGTGATCGAGTAAAGGAGTCTACCATATTTACCAAATATAACAACGATTTATTAAAATAAGCGAATTAGACAAAAGACTACACAAATTGCTTTCTAAAACCGCCTAACAGCTCGAGAGAGAGAGTTACACGCTTTTTCATACCTCTTTCTAGAGTTCCTAGACGATTAAGTCCATGTAGGCACATAAATGTCCAAGGAAAAGTGGTTTTAATCCAACTAAGGCACAAAATATATATGTTCGCGACTTGGGCGCTGATCTGATATCGAAGATCGTAGATCGGAATTCGGCGGGTTCGGAGAATCGGCGCGATGTCGTCGGTCCGGCTTTCGTTAAGAGACTCCCCCGAGAGGGGATAAGAACTGTCTTTTATAGCTTTTTGTGGTGAATTTCCACCACGTGATCGGATGTTCATGAGTTAAAGGTTATAGGTGTCCCAGGGACCTAAAACGAGTGACGAAAGTTGGATGCTAACTATAAACTTTATTAAAAAACTTGAAAACGTTAGTTTTTTTAATAAAACTCTCTTGGCAAAAAATAAGGTGTTTGTTACTTGAATAATTATTTTGTCGAGTACGTTTCTGTTCAATATAAACTTTTCTGCAAGATGAGCTGCAAGTTCTGCAGAGAACAATAGATGTTTATAGTTATGACAGGAAGGTTTACACATTCCCGGCTAAGATTGTTTTTTTCTTCTAATCCGTTACATAAACGAAAGCGAATAAATTAAAATTTTTAGTTAATAACAGAGCGTGATTTTCGTTACTAAAATTCCGGATCTCACACTAATATACAGAAATTATGTGATAGTAAACAACAGATTTCTCATTAAATATACTACAACTTTATTATACATACACACACCTGTAACTATAGGTATTAAACGTAAATACCGAAGAAAAACATGCAATTTTTCTAATATGCGACGAAAGAAATTAACAGTAGGGAAAAAGTTCTTAGAATACAAGAGTATCATAACTATCGTTATCAATGTTAGTTCCTAACATTGATAACGATAGTTATGATAGTAATTCCGAATATCTTTTAAATAAAATATGTATAACTTAAGTGTTTAAGTATTATTAAGTGTTTATAAGTATTAGAGTAATGCATAAAAATAAGATAATTGTTGTTATTAATTGCTTGATTTGTTAAAACTAATTATTATTGCGATACGTCTAAAATAAAAAAAAAAATATATTTGTGATTTAATTACGAGAACTGAACAATTCACACAAATATTTGAGGTAACAGCAAGACAGGTTAAGATATCCAAGAAGTTTACACAAATATTTAGGCTAACAATAGGAAGTGTTAACATATCGTAGGCAATCTCACAAATATTTAGAGCAACGGGAGAACAAGCTATATCCGTTATTTTCTGCAATATAATATAATATACTGTATATATATATATATATTAAATAACGGATAAAGGCAACAAAATACTTTATTTCTAAAATATTTGCATGTTTAATAAATCTTAGAATTAAATTTTATTTTAAATAATCGTGTTCGCATTTCAATTTACAATTTTTATTGAAATTTTATTTATCAATGAACATATGATAACTTGACAAACAGATATTTTGTCACACAACACCTCTATTTATATCACCCTTTAAAATGTTTAATTTTCATACAACAGAGCGCTTCAAGCACTTCATTCCTTTTTATAGCATTTCCAATAAGAAGCAAGAACGTAACAAACTCAAACACGTGCAAAGGTAAGTATTGTGTGAATTATTTGAATTTAATAAGCATTAAATAATTCATATTTGTTGTGAAAATCTTTCAAAAGTTTACACTTTTTAACAATAATTGATAGAATAAACTACTGAAATTAAATTTATTTTCTTCTAATATTTTTTTCTTTTACATTAAATATTCGAATATTTTTCTACTATGAATATGCTTAAAATTAATTGTATTGTTTATTTATTTATATTGTTTTTATACTGACTTGTCAGTAAGGCTGTGTGATAACATTCAAACAGAACAAATAAAATTTATAACATTGTACACTTTGAATTAAATATTATAATTTTTCTATAACAAAAAGATATATAAATATTTTTTTATTTTCGTATGTTTGAATTTAAATATTTAAGCATTTTAATGTTTTTTTTATTGGATGAGATTGAAAATTTTATTAACAAGAATATAAAGTCTGAGTGCAAAATCTGGAAAGTTATGCTCAGAGTTCTGTTAGGAGCACATTTATTTTAAATTTCAATCTGGAAAATAGATCGTCACAATGTTTATTTCAATGTATATATACGACAGACGTTCGGGGGGTGATCCGTAGGCCGATTGTTTAAGATATATTTTGTTGTTATGCTTAAACCTGCAGAGGGTCCTTTGATGCAAATTTGCTATGACAATGCTCCATTGTAATTTTTTAATAATTCATATTCTTATTTTATGTTTTAAGATATTTCTGCCTTTGCTTAGTTCTCTGGTTACTCTGTGTTCATTTATGTATATTATTTTTCTGTATCCATCGGTTTGTGTTAATATTCTTTTTAAAGAAATAAGTTGTATAATAAAAACTTTATTGATACTTACCAATAAAATGTTTGTTACACATCATGTGTAATAAACGTTACACTATGTACACTTGTTATACTTGTTAATCATACATATATATTGTGTAGGCCTACATATTAGCATATTTCTCTACATTTTCTTTCAAATAATAAGATATTTTTCCAATGTTGTATAACAAATGAATAAAACGAATAAAAGTTGTAAATGTTTAAACATTTGAAAAAAAGATTATAGTTTAAAGATAATAGTAAGAGAATCTGAATGATGCAGAAAAAAACATCGAAATTATAAGAAATTTCACCTTCCTGTTCTGATAACATGAAATAAACATTAAAAATTTGTTTAATGGCAAGAATTCATAAGGAAATTGAAAAAAATACAAATAATAATTGGCTGTGATTTAATGTCAACTGGAGTCCATACTATACAAAACGAAAAATATTCACGTTGTGATGAAATAATACGAATAATTGCTAGTTCTGTCTTTGTGTGACGTTTGTAAGAATCCACATCTCTGGCAATTGTCGCTAACCAAAACTGAATACATCGTGCATATTGAGCAATGTACTCAGTTTCACCTATCACAAGAAGATAGTTTCTAAAAGAATTTTATTCATTTCGAGATAGTAAAAGCGAAAGTACTTATATGACGCACACGAAACTAATAGCAGTGATACATAGCAGTGATGGTATAGTCGACACTATACATAAAAACCACATACAGTAAATTGTTACGTTTTGATTTTATGCTTATGAAAGATTACAAAATTGTACTGGAGCCAGAAAAATTCACTCGTAAGAGTTCCGAAACTAGTTTTCGGTTAACTGAATTTTGGGTCATCATATATAAGTATGTATTGTATTATTTTTGATGTTTTATTTTAATTAAATAATTTTACTTTAATTTCAGATGGCCTTATCGGTTTACTTTATCTTTTTCCTACTTGCTACAACTGTTATCTGCTACCCTTCTTTTCTCGGTAGGAATTCTCTATTATCAATAATATCTATACAAAGAAAAAGGAAAAGATTAAATTGTCATATTTATTTTTTGCTTACAGAATGGAAGAAACGGAGTAACTTCAAATCGTAAGTCCAGTTTCATTTATTTATGTATTTATTTTTGTAACCATTAGATATTTATAATATAGATAAAATTCGAATTTTATAGTCCTCCGAGCTGTAAACGTGATTCAGATTGCAAAAAGGACGAATGGTGTGATTTTCGTTGTTCTGGTGTTATTCTGCTTAACTGTAGTGGAACATGTGTAAAACGCTAATGATATTTTATGTATTTGACGAAAGTAATAAAAAAATTACCTTAATAATAGTAACTGTTTAACCCCTTAACGACCATTTTAATAAAAAAATCTTTTTTAAAAGCCCAGTCATTATTATTACTTAAAAAAATTTTCATTTCAATTGAAAAAAGTGGTTTTTTCGATTTTTCAAATTTGGCAAAAATTGGTTCCTAAATGGCAGCTTTCCCTCTGGATAGCCAACTTTACAGGGGCTACCCGCAGCCTGCATCGGTGGCTTTCCTGCATGCTTCGCTAGCGTGCAGAAAAGATGCCATTCGTCGGTTAGCTTTAAAAATAATTTAAAAACAAAAACATGACAAAACATAACATGAATATAAATTTATTGATATAAAAACATATATTAAATGATTACAATAATAAAATACAATATTATTTATACCATTGAAAAATAAAAATAATAACGTGATATAAAGTAATACATTTACGCATAAAGAAATACTATAAAATAAGTAAATAAAAATTATAATTTCATAATTATTAATAAAAATATATATTTATATATTATTTAAAGTTAAAAATAAGTAAGGTATCNGCAACATAAGTTAAACGTAATGATGAAATATTTTTAAATAAATTTTATTAAAAAGTAAGAGTAAGTTTAAAAAAAAATAAGAGTACATTTTTAAAAAATTTTTCCACTGTGTGGTATATCTGAAAACACGGTGCAGCACACAAAGGCACATCGCAAACTTTGCGATAGTATCTCGTCTCCTTTCTTATTTTTTTCCCTGCACTGTCATGCTTAGTTTTGCATACGGCACAGCATCTAGTGGGAGCTTCCTTTTTGTCGGTCGCCAGAAGGTCCGGGAAATGTCTTTCCATAAGTCTAAGTGGACCTGGAATTCTCGAACCTGGAATTCTCAGCTGACCATGTTTTGTAACCCTCGTTTCAGTGTGATACTCCTCTATAATTCTTTCTTTAACGTTTATTCTAAACTGTAGATGATCCATTACGTCACCATTTTTTTCATACAAAACGTACAAATATCCAGCATTAAACGTACAAATATCCAACAAATGAAAAAATACTTTTTTGTAAAATTTCTTCTCTGCTTTTCTCGCCACTGGATAATCTCGAAGATGCTGATCTAAAACATCAACACCTCCCATTGTGTCGTTATAGTCGACAACAACCTGTGGCTTTACAACTATTTTACCGGCATGAATTTCTTTGCTTACCATTGTTGGGTTGTGGACCGTAGAGAGTAAAGTGACGGCTCTTTTGTTTTGCCACTTCATAATCATCACTTTACCTCTCTGCATCGCCACTGTTTCTCCCTTTTTCAATTTTTTATTTCTAACCTCAGCCGGGACTTGTTGTCTGGTCGTCCGCACAGTTCCGAAGAAATCCGTTTGGACCGTAACCAGATAATCAGCTAAATGTGGGGAAGAATAAAAATTATCTGCTGTTAGACAATAGCCCTTGCCTAACAACGAGTCCGCTAATGATAATACTATTTTTGATGTTACAGGCATATCTGTACATTTTTCGTTGAAAACTGTGTTCTTTCCGGTATAAATTATAAAATTATACAAATAGCCTGATGAGGACTCCCATAACATGTAGAATTTCACATTGAAACGAGACCGTTTGAGATGCATGTATTTTCTCCACGAAAGACGTCCTTTGGATAGCATCAAACTTTTATCCACCACTATATCCCTTTCTGGAACACACAGACGCGAAAATTTTGAACTATTGGCCAAATTTTATTCAGTTTAGGGTTTGGATGAGTTCGCGGATTATAATTTTGATTATTACTAAAATGAAAATTTTGTTTTATTTCCAAAAAACGATTTCTTGACATTTATCTTCGAAAAATTGGAGTGGAAAGTGTTTCGTTCGTGGTCCAATACATCCTCTCATCCGGTTTATGAATTATTCCTTGCAATATCACTACAAAACATTAACATTTATTCTATGGAAACAGGATTCCACTGGATCCTGGATGTCTGGGGTTTCGATAGGGCGTATCTATTCGTCTCTGTAGTAATTTCGTTCACCAACTCGTTATCAAAAAAAAAATTAAAGTAATCCAACGGTTCAGTTATTTGAATTCTAGAAAATTGACACCCAGGAATGCCAGTGAATAAAAACCGTGGAGGAGGCGTTGGATAAGTACTGGTGTCAGCATCACAGAACGATCTAGCAGCATCTCTTCCTGATTCGTCAGAACTGCTAGAATAGTCTATGCTTGGGATGTAAGACTCTGATCCGCTCTTAGAGATCGCCATGTAAGTATCGTCACTATCAGACATTCTACAAATAAGGAAAATATTCTAAAAACCGTCTTATTTTTCTGTTATACGCTAAAAATTACAGAATATTCACCAGAATAAATAGAATTATGAACTTAATTACTAAGATAAGGTGGAAAACTTGACTCCAACAATAGGAGAAAAGTTTGTCAATAAACTCTAGAAATAAGAAAAATAAATTCCTTCCCAAATCGCATGGCGTGTGTGAGACGCTCGGTGACAGTTTTTTTAGCAGCATTTTTTCCGAAATTTTTCAAATCATTTCAAAATATTTAAGTTTTCTAATTTTTTCGAGCTGCAAAAAATGCAATAAATAACATTTTTAGTGCGCGTCGAGTTTACTCGCAAAAAAAAGTCAAAAACTGTCAGCGTCTCACAAACGCTGTGCGAGCCATCAGGTAAGAAAAAATTCGGCAGAAAAAACAGGCTCGCGATAATCACTATCGTCCATCGCAACCATTGCGGTGCATCTTTTTCCCTATAAATTCTTTTCTTTCAATATATATTTTTTAATTTCAACTTTGTTTTTGGGCTGCAATTTTAAATACTTGTAGCTTTATAAATTTTCATTATTCTGTTTGTCTGTCTTTTATAAAGAATATGTAAATAGATGGTAAAATCATTTACGTGTGTTTACAAAGGTGCTGTTTTCTTTTGTTTGATCTAAAACATATATATCTAACAGTTTCATTTTTGCTACGTTTCGAAAATTTTAAATTTAAAAAGAAATAATCAAAAAATTCAATTAATTTGCGTTATATTCGACTATTCCAGAGATCGCAGCTTTGATTCTCTCTTTTGTAAGTCGATTGACTTTGTTTAAGCGAATAAATGTTTTGTTACCACCCCTGGGCCATAAATACTGCAGCAAATACACTCCCCTACCATTTACAGTAAATCATCGTAGTTGGTTGAAAACAATGAAAAGGAAACTCCTTCTAAAATTTTATTGGGTATCTTCTGTCTTTGTTCACATTACTGTAACTAATCACAGAGTTGTGAAAGGAAAAATTGCTGCGAAAAGTCCCGCCTTCAACCTTTGAAGTAAAACGTAAACAATCACAATAAATTCGCTTTTTAAATCGTTTTTTAGCTCTAATGAACTAATTTAACGTTTTTGACAATAAATTAGGCAATTCGACAATATTTAGGCATGTAAATATGTTTTTAAAATTATCTAGTAATAAATATTCCCAGGAAACTCCACCTCCCTATAGTAAGTCTGTGGGAGATGTTCTTGCTGTTAATTAGCTTTAAAATCTTTGTTTCTACGCCTACTACGCTCTAATTAGTAATTTATATTATGACAGAATCAAGTTCAACAAATGAGAGTTTTTCAGAATCATCTGGTCTGGATTTTCCCGCGAAGAACCAACCCACATGTTCAAAGTCAAAATGTAAACAAACGTTAAAAATTAACTATATTCTTTACTAGCTGCAAGGACCCGCTTTGCTGGGTGTTTATTTGTGGGCAAAAAGTAACGATAGTGATAATTAACATAATTACATTATAGCCAATCTTACTCGTTTTCACAAAATGCAAGAATTAGGTCCCCCGTTTCCAGACTAATTAGAGAATTTTTACGTCCAGTCAAACGAACTATTTTTAATTTGATCAATTTTCTGGAACGTTTACAATCGTTCTATAATAGAACCAATTCGAATACAAATTCTAATTCGAAAATTTTCAAAATCGAAATAGAAAATCTTCCACTTTTAACCACTTTCAAGCCTATATCTCTCGCACTCTTATAGCTATCGATACGCAACCACCATAGTGCACGAATGGAGACTTGGGGCTACTACCACATACAAACACCATTCACGTGCGATGTTTAGTTTTGGCTGAAAAGTGAAATATAGGGACACATACGTCCATTTTAATATATAGATATATAGATATAGATATAGATTTTAGAGCGTATTTTTGCTACTTTGCATGTTATTTGACTTTACTTAGACAAGATTTCTTAACAAAAGCTTCTAGCTGAAAAATTAACCAGGAAACTTATTTCTCCCGAATATTGTGTAATCTTAAGAAAAAATCATCTAATCGCTTATTATAGTGTATTATTGTATGAAGTGTGGAAAAAATATACGAAAAGCGTCAAATCTTCACTATTTGAAGCAGAAATATACGTTGATAAACTTTGACTCTTCGCTTCACGATAACAATCGACTCCTCTTTTGGCTAAGTAATTTGAGACGTAGTGTAAATTATGGCAATAACTTCTCCCCCGCCCTAGATAGATAGCTGCAGTTTGTTTTGTTTGAAAGAAGACAGATGTCTCTAACTGAAATAAGATATGTACAAAGTTCAGCGAATCTCTATGTAATTCGTTTGAATTTGTACTTTTGTTAGTGCAGTAAAAGTGTTCAAACAGCGTTGTTATCAATTGCATCAATATGGATCATGCACGCTTTTTACTCTCAGACATGGATATGGAAAATATTATATATGATGACGTATCATCTGAAGGTAAACCTGATATCTGTGAAACAAGAGATAATGACACTGATACAGAACAGGAAGAACAGCTTGATGAAAAAGAATTATTGATACCTTCAAGTTTTTAACAAGGTGAGAGCATGTTTTATATAGGGTGTGATTTTAGTACCTGCTGGAATAATTCCCAACATCGCAACTAGGAAAAACTGTTAGGAATATGGCTGTCACGTGTTCAGAAGTTTATCTCCTGGTCTCCTGAAAGATAGAATGCGATGTACGATGACGCTGTTTATTTTTTCTCGTTGCCTATGACCCTCTGAATTATTGCTATTTTTCTAACATCCAGTGTATCTGTAGGTCTTCGTAGAATAAAGACATATAGAAGTTTCGTCTGTATCCCGTTTACATCCCTGATCGCTCAGCTTATCCAACTTCACCAACAAAAATTACTAACAAAAACAAAGCAGCATGACATAGTAACGCATCTTCCTAGTCCCATAAGCGATGCCACTAGAGCAACGTCCATTATGGATTGTTAGAAATGTGAGATCCGAAATTTTATTATTCTAAAAATGTAATTATTTTACTTGTTTTATATAACAAATTGAAAAAAAAAAAACGATCTTAGCTGGGAACATTTGAAACCCTCGTTCCATAACTATCAACATTCTATTGTTCTCACACAGCTTGCAGCTCGACTTGCACAAAAGTACATAGTTAGCATCCAAATTTCGTCACTTGTTTTAGGTCCCGGGAACACCTATAACTTTTATCTCCTATAACAACCGATCACGTGACCAATTATCCCAACACAAAAATATGCTTTCTTCCCCCTCTCGGGGGAGTCTCTTCACGAAAGCCTGACCTACGATATCCGATACCTTTGAGTTGAATCTTCGAACCAGCCGTAAATTCCGAACCTCCCGCTTCGAATACCGTCTGTCAGTCGCGAGCTTTTATACTTGTGCCCATTAGCGAAGCCAATAACTACAATTTTATGAAAAAAAATGATGTCTGTAAAACGCCATGTGATCAAAGTGCAATCGGGCAGCAACGCGATTTGAGAAGGATTATTCTAAAAACTGTCTTACTTTTTACTTACGCGCTAAAAATTAGATAATAATCTCCGGAATAAATATAATTATCATAAACTTACTGGATAATGCAGAACAACTGGCTGACAGATATCCAAATACACAAAAATTGCACGCAAAAAACTAAAGCACTACTTGACACACCGAGATCAAGACTAAGAATGAGATATTGTACAATTATTCAAAGGAAATAAAAAGTCATAAATTCTGGAAAGAAACTTGTAAATAGGTATATAGGTAAATATATGTAATATATAGGTATATAAATTTATAGAAATATGAATAGCATATTTTCTTTTACTAAAATATTTTTGTTATAATATGAATAATTCGAAAAACCTACTATTGTAAATTTGTGTTTTATAGATAAAATTAGATCAAATGGTTTTAGATAAAAATATAATAAAAAATAGTAACTGCAACAAAATATTCAATAATATGTACAAAACAATCGATACATAAAGATAAGAAGAAATTACTCTAGACAATCCTGTTATTTTGTTTTCTTCTAGGATTTTACAATTTCATGCAGGAGTGTCAAAGAACTTTTATTATAAAAGCTTTTTTATATGAATATTTTTACACAAATACAAAAAATTATTTATATCACAATAATACTTATTCTATAATAGTTTCTAGCCTTATATGTTCATATAAAAAGATTTACGATACGCTTCGACAAAAAATCAGAATAATTTATAATAGACCATTTTATAAAACAAATTTATAAATAATTTAAGTATAAATCTTTATTTATTTTATAATGTATTATTTAGAAACTTATTATTTGTCATGTAACACAATACTGGCAAAGAGACATCTGATACAAGCTTACAAGCTTCAGTACAGATACACATCAGTACAGATGACCTTGAAAACAGCTGCTTGTAAAGTTTCGCGGGTTGTTCCCAACAACAGCCTGAGGGGAACTAGGTTTTCTACACACATCTGAACGTGTTACTGTAAAGACTCGCTTGTATTACGTTATTTTCTGATAATTTTTTAAAATTTTTGTGTTATTACTTATATTATATGCTAAACTTAACCTCATGAAACTAACATTGTTTTTTGTGCTTTACAGGAAAAACTTCCACGAAAAATTAAAAAAACTTTTAATACATCAATTTATGAAAAATACATTTCTCAAACATTTTAGCATATAACTTAATTTCCTTTATTAGAAACGAATTGTTTTTCACATAACTAAAAATTGCGACGGATCACCTGACACACGCCACAGTTCGGTGTACTTAGCGTAATGTCCTTCAGAACATCTGTTAATAGAAAGTTGCTGAATATTTTCATACAGATAGCAGGGGAAGACAGGTTTATAGACTGTTGTGCATCAGTTACCATAAAAATTCAAATACATCACGAAATTTTAAAATTTTCTGATGTCATAAACAACATCCAATAGAATATAAAATAAGCTTTGCCCGCGTTATCTCCTCCATAGGCAGGAAATAAGAAAATAGTGAATTTTCAAGAAATTTCCTGGGATGAAAAGAATTTTCCAGGATATTTCCTGGGATGAGAAGAATTTTCCGGGATATTTCCTGGGTTGAAAAAACAACCGAGATGCAGTTTAATAGACCCTGATGTACACAATCCAGGACTTTCCCTTACCTTTTCACTCGTTTTGAAAAACTTCGCTCGTTAATCGAGTCATTTTTAAAACATTTGATTTTCTCGTTATTCGTAGTGCTCGTTAAGCGAGGTTCAATTGTACTAAGCTGTTAAATAAAATATGGCAACATAGAATAGAAAGAAGTAGCGCCATCTGAGCAACAATTGGACTTAGGACAACATAATAATTAATAACATTAATAAATAATATAGGAGTATTAAAATTAATATTAATTAATAACGACAACAACAATGAAGAGAATTATAAATACTAAACAATGACACATGTTATGAAGTTGCGCCATCTGTAGAGAAGAAACGAAAGTAAACAACCTGCGTACAGATTTATGGTTGATTTATAATACTTATTTACAAAAGCCAAATGGTTTTCAAATTTATGTCTAAAGAGACATAAATTTGGTGGACGCTTATTTGTTTATTGTGAATGTTACCAATACACGACCTTCCTTTTCTAAAACCTGACTGTTCTTCCATTACTAACTTATTCTTTATTATTTTACTAAATATACAGGCCTATGGTATTTAGAATAGTAATTCCTCTGTATTTTTTTTTTGTATCAGTTTAATTTCCCTTTTTTAAATATTGAAATAACCTTTGCTATTTTCTACAAAAGTGTTACTGATTAAAAGATGAACTGTATGTCTCTGTTGTTATCAGCAAAAAGTATGATGTACCTGGAAAAACACTAGCGAAATGAATTGAAAATTTTTCTAAATATGCAAATCTATTGTGAAATTTTATTGTGCGTTTTTAGGAAATTTTATTAAAAAATATTGTCCCCGAAGGTTGTTTACCGCGAACAGAGCACGAGTGATGAATTCTATTAATTGAATAAGGCAATGCATTCTCGAGGGATGGGTTGAAGTTAATTCAATATAAAAAAAAAAATATTTTTCGAAAAGGACTATTATAGAAAAGTTGCAAATAATTTTATATTTGATACAAGATACAACGAAACCTTTACATGGGCGTGCTGTTGATGAGGCATATAAATCTCCAATCCTGGTATGCGTGAGTTCAATTGTTTCACACATAAGGCGGTATTTTCATTTATAGTTGCATTTCACCTTACTACAGGGACTGATATAAATCTTAAAATTTGATGTGTTTTATGTTTTATGACGTTATTATTACATCATTTACAGACGATGTCACGTACTTGATCGTAAGCATTCTTATATTTGTTTAAGTGTAACGAAAACAATTATAATCAATATAAAAACTACAGGAATTTAATTCAGTCCATTTCGCTCCTACCTTTGCTACCATTGACTGCAAAGAAAATGAAATTGTTTAATTTTCATAACATTTAAAAGGGCAACTCGACAATAAATAACTTTTATTCTTATAAATTTTCTCGTTGCACATGTATTTTACTAAATATTTCTCGGGACCATAATAAATGGACAACTCAGTATAGGTAAACATGAATATAAAATTGCGGTATAAAAGTTTTCATGTTAAATTTGATTTTACGTGAAATCTTCGTCTTGACGAAGGTAAATGTTCTACACTGTACAATTAAATTGTAGAAAAATTTTTGTATTCGGTAAAATTTTCATTTCCATTTTTCTAAACTAACATTTTAAACAGAAAATTTGTAAAGCGAGAAAAAATTTTAAATGAAAAAATTATTTTAAAAGTAAAAAAGAAAAAAAATGGAAGTAAAATACCACTGCTTAATAACAGAACCGGTTCGGTTATGACGTAGTTGTTGTCTTAGGTATAGGTAACATCTTTACCTTTAATAACTTAACCATAAAATAAATTAAAGTATTATTTACTTATTATATAACTACTATCAAAATGTAGTCAAATTACGACTCCGTTTCAAATGAAAATGTGCTGTAACTAATATGAAACATTAATTGGATTATCCAACCTCGAGGGAAGAAATGAGAGAAGTTAAGTTTCGTTGTAGTGTGAAGTTAGTCTTCTATAATAGGCAGACTGTTAATTACGTGGAAAAAACTGATTGTGATTGGCATTATTCGGCGCTTGTTGTCTTACGCATAGATATTTCATTATAACATACAGTACCGCATCGAAAACTGCATATCAAGAAAAATATTTACCATGTGTCTGTTGAGTTTGTTCCAAATTCTGTTAAGTTTAGTTATTATTTTTCTTTTTGTGACATATTTAACACGAAAGAAAAAGAGAAACGGAAGGAATCAACAAGAAAACGATTTGACTTCGAACAAATATGGAGAGAATTTGTGCGTATCTGGAGGTAAGTCAATAATTGAATACTTTTGTTTTTTTTAATTTTTAAAATATAATTAATTTAACACGAAAGAAGTGATCTGACTGCGCTACAGCGCTCTATATTAGAGCTCAGCCACACGTTTTAATATTAAAATGCCAAATTTGATGATTAATATTTCCAAGACCGACATTCAGATTTGGACGAAATTTAAAATATTTATTGTCCGCGGTACAGAAGTCTTAAACTTTAAATAAATTGATTGGATCGTTTTGGCAATTTCAAATTCTGCAATTTCGATTAGATTTACAACGAGAAGGATTTTCGCAACATAAAGCTAGCGGAAAATGTAGAAAATGTCTGCGTATCCTCAACAGTTCTTTGTACAACCGACCACCTCTTTTGTGGTCCCTTTAAAGGTTTTATTTCAAATATCGAGAATTTATAAAATTATAAGCCCAATGTTTAAATATTAACATTTTATTGGTCGATCGTCTATTACGTGAAGTGACGTTTTGCTATTCTTTTTAATCTATTAGCATCAGATCCTTACAATGACAAAACGCATTTTTGTCGGTTGTGTCATGCACATTTACTCCGTTTAACACATGAGTATTTTAATACTTAATTATTTTATATAATACATTAATAGAGGAATAANATCCGGATAATCGAAAATCCGGATAATAGAAGGGCGGATAATCGAGGTTCTACTGTACATTAATAGAGGAATAAACGTTGGATTCTGACAATTCAAATTACAGCTTTCAAATGCCGGTACTTTTCGTTTATCTTTGGTATGACTAGTTTAATTAATATTGTCAATTTCACTTAATATTACACCAGCCAATCTTTCTATTAATTTAATGTTTGTAAGAAACCGTGGTAATTGTCTTAGGTGTAATTCCTCTTCCAAATATTTAAAAGAGTTTTTTTCTTTGTAATCTTGTTTGGTTATTGAAATCGTAGCCATAATAGCATCTACTAAAATCAAAGCAGTCATCGTACATTTTGTTCGCTTTTCTAATGTTACCACGGAATGTTTAACGTTACCTGAACAATAACTTTGTGTCGTTTGTCAGTCTTTCGTGTTAAACTTGAAACCTTTATTCTGTGGGATTCTGAATAATTGGCACAGTCTTAGCGCAATATGCCTGCATTCTGTCAATTAGCCCACTTTCTTATATTTATACTTTTTGAGATTGTTTCTTACAATCGTGGTTTTAAAGAGCACATCAGTTTATTTTGTTTGCTGTGATAGTTTATTAAATTTNGCACTTTGCTGACAAAAATGCTTCGTCAACGTCAACATTTGACGATCACGCGACAACTTTCCCACAACAATAGTATAAAACTGCGAGCTACTGGAAGCTCGGCACGTATCGTCATAGGAAGTTATAATTGCTAATAGTGCCACCTTGACTCACGGATCTTCATATAGCGAACCTGATCCAGCAAAAAAAAAAGAAGACACTGGTTGGAAGATACCGAGGACGCCTACCTCTTCCATACAGACGACGTTTGCCATATCGATTCTTCGTTACGTCCGAGAGGTATTTAGGGGCTATTAGAACTTGAAAATTTATCTCTGGAACTAGGGATTAGTTTCCCAGTTTGTGTAAATAGTATAGCTTATAATCGCATTTAACCTTAGCAATTATATAGATTTGTGTAATCTAGACTTAGTTAATCAATAAATGTTTTTTCAAATTTCAAAACTTTGATAGTAATCATTTAATACACGGAAATACAGAACAAAACAAATTTAACAATAAAGTTCATTAAAATCAAATCTTGGCAGAAGTGTTTTCTTCAAAGGACATTTTTATCCAGTTTGAACTTTATTGCGGAAGCGCAGCCTAAAATAAAAAGTCTTCTCCGTAACTGAAAATTACTTTTTGGAAGTCACCGGTGTTTGTAACAGTAGAATATGACAATTTTGTAGCTTCAGTGAATCTATTTACACTGGACGACAAAAAAAATAACGCACCATGAAGGACTTGTTAGATCTGAATAAAAATTGATATGTTGCATCATCTTAGCTAGATATGTAAATGATTAGCTTTTGAGAGTAGGTTCTTATGTTATATCGCCACCAGAGGGGAAAAAATGTTTCCGCTGCCTGGTATAAAGGTGCACGCTGTGACGACTTGTGCATATGTTCTGCACTTTTATTCATGGTTTTGACTTCATTGAGTGACAGACATGCCTCTACGACGCATTCGACAGCCTTACACTCAGTTAAGTGAGTTTAAGAGAGGTCGCATTGTTGGATTGAGAGGAAGATGGTCATACTGCCGGATTGGCCGCCATCTGAACCGTTCTGATAGAACTGTTAGGATGTGTTATGAGCAGTGGGTAAGTAGGGGTACACACGAACGGCAAACAAGTTCCGGACGCTATCGACAGACCACCAGAAGGGAGGATTGTCTCATTGTACGTCAAGCACGGACAGCGCCTACAGCTTCATCGTCTACCATTCATGCAGTAATGGCACCTGCATTACGGAACAGTGTATCCAGCCGCACCATTTCCAGGTGCTTAGTAGAAGGCGAATTGATCTCCCGACGCCCAGTATGTGTTCTACCGTTAACAGCCACCCACCGACGCCTCCGTCTGCAGTGGTGTCGTGCATGACAATCGTGGACCGCTACCGACTGGCAGCATATTGTGTTCAGCGACGAATCCTGCTTTTGTTTGGGGGCTCACGATGGCCGTGTGAGAGTATGGCAGCCCGCTGGTCAAGGTGTCAATCCGGCCTATACCGTGGAGCAGCACACGGGCCCAACCCCCAGTGTTATGGTGTGAAGAGCCATAACATACGACAGTAGGACACCTCTAGTTGTCATGCGTACTACCCTCACAGCCAAACGATATGTGCAATACATCCTCCAGCCACATGTGTTGCCCTCATGGCAGGGCTTCCGACAGGCATATTCCAGCAGGATAATGCCCGGCCACATACTGCAGCGGTCTCCCAAGCATGCCTACATAACGTTTCCACACTTCCTTGGCCTGCATGATCTCCAGATTTATCGTTAATCGAACATGTGTGGGACCACTTGGGTCGCCAGCTGCGACAGCCACAGGATCTGACTCATCTTGAGTCCCAATTGCATCATGCATGGACAGATATGCCTCAGAACATTATTCGCGACCTTTATGCCTCCATGCCGAGGCGTATCACAGCTTGTATCCGCGCTAGAGGCGGCCCAACAGGATATTAGTTCCTGCACTGTATTGCATATTACTGCACAATAAAGTATGTTTTTGTTTTATGGTTGCAATCATATATCTGTCTAGCAATGACGATGTCATATACCAATTTTTATTCAAATCCAACAAGTCCTTCATGGTGCGTTATTTTTTTTGTCGTCCAGTGTATATATTTGAACAATATTTAAATATATTAGGTCACTGTATGACTTTGTCATAGCATGATAAAATTGAGACAAAGTGCTGTGTTTTTATAATTGAAATTTTTAAAATCAGTATTAATACTATATTTTATCTTTTGTTTCATCTAATCCAAGCACTGACACTTCTTTGAAAGTATATGTAATGGCACACACTCGAATACATGCATGCAACAAAAAAACGGTTGTTGGCCACATGAGAAGGCAATACACTTATCAGTCACAAAGAGACAATCCTTACACTTGTCGGCATAAACGTGTGGCATTTGCTTAGTGTCAACTGCTTTGTTCTTATGTTTTGTTTATTTTTAATGCCCATTTTGCATCAAATGCATGTAATGCTGTTTTCTTATTTATTCCATCCGTAAATTCTGTTAGGTATGCTCAATTGCATGAGGCAACATAGACGTTTTCTCTTTGATCTCTACTGTATCTCAAAATTGAGGTCATGGATCACCCTTCTTTTGATTGCATTTTTGGATTCCTCATCATAATTAATTGAAAATAGCAAACTTTCATAAAAATTAATATTTCAAATTTCAAGAATGAACACAATTCTGTAAGTCACATAGAAAAGGCTCAAGCAATGCTCTGCCTTAACCAGATAATATTTTCAGCCATCTTTAACAGAATTACATGTTTCTAAATCCTACTTAATTTATATGTTTTTATTGGACTTTAAATTTGTTTGTTACCTATATGTTCAATATTCCAATTCTATTGTAACCTTTAAAAACANCTTTTTCAAAACTTATTTATTCTTGCAAGAACATTTTCAAGCTACTATGCCTGTTTCTTTACAAATTTGACACAAATAAATAAAAATCTTATCAATAATATGGTACGACATAGGGAACGCATCTGCCCTTTTTAATCATCTGAAAGTTTCCTTCGTCCAAATGGCCGTAGAAAATCGCCTATTAAAGGAACAGCTCAAACACCAAGCTGGCACTTTGACACTCGCAAGCCATGGCCGTCCACTAAGAAAAAGAAACATTTCACCAGAAAGAATAAAATCTTTGAAGGACTTAACTAACGCTTCAATGCCACTTTTGAATACTGAAAGAGTTAACTAAATAAAACTAATCTAAATACTTAAAATCCTTGAATAAATCTTCAAAAGCGATAAAAATAATAGCAGCACTCTCTGTTGCTGTAGTGTGATATTTAACTTTTGTGATTGGTAGATTACAGGTTACGTATGTTAAAATTCTGTTTTTTATTGGCATTTGTCGATGTATATGTTTTAATAGTAATATACACGTAGATAGAGAATTATTACGTACCACTTTGGAAAGTGCTGAACAAAACGTATCTTAATCATGTTTCTACCAACTTTTCAAATCCTTTTAAGTTTAGTTGTTATTTGTCTTGTGTTGATTTATACAATAGTGAAGGAATGAAGAAACAGGAAACAACTGGAAAATGATTCCACTTTATTATCGTGTGGAAACGCTTCATCTGTGTCTGGAAGTAAGTAAATGTTTGAAAGTTTTCATTATTATTTTTAAAGATATCATTACTTTAAGACGAAACATTATCTTACAAAAAGATGATTTTATACAGAATTCGATTAAACAAATTTTAATTGAACAACAATCGACAATATTAAATAGAATAAAACGAATTTTTCTTATAAACATTGTTCGACTCAGACCATATTGAAACAACGAGAAATGCAAAAACATTTCGGTTTGTTTTTCGTACGTACGGTGTGTGTGCGTGTTTGTGTAGCATTTTGTTTATTAGATTTGAAGCTTAAAATAACTCTAGTGTTTTTATCGAGAGTTTTTGAAATTTTCCACGAAGGTGTCTGGGTTTGGTGAATTTATGCTGTTAAATTTTGGTGGTTGCACGTCTGGTGTATGAAGAGATAAAATGTCGTGTGTTCTATCTGACATAATAAACTTAACGGTCGAATTTAATGAAGGATTTATTCCTTTTCGGCAATTTAAATTTTTATTTCAGAAAATTTAGCTCTACTTTCATAGAAATCTTTTTGCCGTTTAATAATAATTAAAGAAATAAAACGATTTTTTAAAAAAACAAAAGATCAAAACAGATGGCGCCAAACGCAGTTATTAATGTTTCTGGGAAAGTTAAGAAACTGGTTACTGGAGTTTGAAATTATAATACTTAATTTACAATTTTCTTTTAGTAACTTCAATGCATCTGAGACTTATCTATGTAAACGTATTTTTTATATTCTTATTTTTTAAAGTATTATTAATACTTTTATTATAGTGTTTTCTTAGGATTAAACCCAAGTTTTATTGTTTATTCTGTAGAGATTTAACAGGTGTTTTCACACTTGCAAATACGAAAACTTATTTTTGTTATATTAATTTTTTTGTTGACTTAATAAAATAAAACAGGATTTTAGACTTATTTAAATTACAATCTGTATTTTATTTTTCAATCTAGTTAGTTATTTTCATTTGGTTAATGGTTTTAGTGTTTTATAGTGTTTTTTGCAGTTAGTGTCGCGATACTGTATTTAGAAATTCATTTTGTAATGATTTTCAGCTTTAAGTGTTACCAGTCACAAGTTTCTTCGTTTAGGCTCGTTTCTTTCCATTAGCAGATATGAAATGCTCATAAGTGCAAAAGCAGCAGCACAATTTATTGCTTTAGAATTGCGATTTTATAGACCTCGTACGAACATTTTTCATTCTCACGATAAGCAAATGATCGGCAGATCCTCGTATGTGTGTACGTGTATGCTGGACAAGTGATAAACACTTGGCCAAATACTATGCCGAATACCGAACATGTGGATGCACGTTAATAAAGTAATTTCAGTATTACTACAATAACTGAAAGCTCAAAACTCGGCATGTATTGATAACTCTTCAGTGTAAATACTGTATTCAAATTTTGTACATACGTTTTCTTTGTAAATATTTTCTTTCTTTGGTTGTAAAAAAGCGTCGCGGTGACCATCGGGTCGCATCGAATATCTTAAATAATTAACTTTCATTCTGTCCTATCTCGCTTCATTTCACCTTCAACCTGAACTCTTCCTAGAACATTTACTCTTTTTTTTTTTTGTTTCTTGGGCTGTACCAAAGAGTGCGGCCAGTAAACAATTCTCTACTGACGATGTTGCAATAATGATTGCTTATTATCAATTTTTATATTTATAACAGACATTAATTTTTCAGACAATAAAGACAACGGGCAGGAGTTAAAAATGAATCTTCCGACTATGTCCTTTTTTCCAATTTTGTGGAACATTGTATTTTCTCAACGTGACAAGCAATACCACAATTCATACATCGGGATACGTATGTCAATAATATTTTATTGGGTAATTTGACTGTTTATGAATACATGAAATATTTTTTCGTAAATTTTCAGTAACTTTAAATGTATCTGCGGGTCTATCTATGCTATTTCCAAACGAGAAAGTTGTTTGTATAAATATACTTGGACATAAATTAATTATTTTCTTACATCCAGAATCTGCAAAGGTAATCAAACATGCCTAGTTATGTAATATATTCATTGCAAATGTAAATATTCAGTATAACGTTTTGTAGGAAGTGTTAAAAAGCAACAGGTTAATCAATAAGGATTCTACTTATGATTTCTTCAAGCCACTTCTAGGATACAACAGTTTTTTTTTCAGGTAATGCTTTATTTGATATTTAGTTTACATATCACTTATCGTTGTTTACAGTTTTTTGAATTTAATTAAATAAAGTTCTGACGATAATTGGAGAAGAAGAAGAAAATATTTAGCTCCACTTGTACAGGTTCGGAATCTGAAAGATGATCAAGATATATTTATGGAGCATTCAAACGTTTTAGTCGAAAAACTCAAACAATTGCAAAAAAATGAATTATTCGATATTCTGAAATGGATGAAATATTGCACTCTCGATATAATTGCAGGTATTACTCTCTGTTGTAAAATATTTAATCAAGTATTATAAATATCAATTTGTTTATAGGTAAACATTAAATAAAATATTTATTTTGTCCACTTATTGTTATAAGTGTACATCACGTAGAGAAACTTATTGCTATAAGTATACATCACGTAGAAAAAGCATGAAACGAATTTTTTTAAATAATATATATACATATATGTTACTGCAAGAAAAGTGAGCTACTGAACATCCCTTAACGAAACCAACAATGGACAGGGTTAGGAATTGAAACAGTTTTTTTACCACTTGCGTTTCACAGCAATTACGGATTTATTTGTTTGAAATTCTGACACACAGGACGACTTTTAACACTATCCCTGTCTAGCGACAATAGTTAGAACTAAAGCTAACTATAATAAATTTTTCACGATAAAACTTGGGCCGTTTTCTGTTCTTCGTCTCTCGTCTGTTGTCTCTCACAAGCTGGTCGCTGATTGGCTAATCATTTGTGTATGTCTCAAGAAATCATCGCGTCTCTCTAAACGCCATTCTGGACAACTTTATCTCTCTTCTCTTCTCTCGCTTATCAGAGACGAGCAGACAGTTGTCTTTCGACCAGTCTATCGTCTTTCGCTTCGATTTCGTTATATCCAATATGGATGGTTGGCTGCTACTCGCGCTGTACAATAGTATTAGAGAACGTTCTCTATTTAGAGAAATGCCTCTGATTTTTTTGCACTGCCTACTCAGAAACGTCACTGATTCCATTTTTTTTAAATTATCCTATATCAGTTACTGAACTATCAAATATGATGTTAATTTTACTTTGATAGTTAAGGAGAAATTAGATCTTTATATTTCGGAAAATATCCAAGTATGCACGCTTTTCGAACGGTTATTACAATTTTTATTTGTTAAAAGACAAATTGACGTTACGATGTGTAAAAACGTTAAAAAACAAAAAACAAGTTTGTCGAAATTACGTGCTTTATTTGAACAAACGCTTTCTTTGCCACGTGAATGCGGAGTACGATCTACGATTACGTACTCCGCATTTTTGAAAATTTTACAATTTCATTGTTGTGTACAGGCACAATGAAGTGACGTTTTTCTCAACACTGGGCTAGTTGAATCTTTTATTTAGTTAGAACGTTTTTTCCATACATCAACGTTTCGGGCATCAGCCCCTCTTCAGCTAACTAAATAAAAATGCATGATTTAAAGCAGGAGTGTCCAACCCGAGGCCCGCGGGCCGCATGCGGCCCAATAAACGTGTAAACAAAACCGACAAAATGTTTTAATTTTTTTATTATTTATCTATTTCAATGGCACAAACTCAAAAAAAGAATTAAACCTTTATTCATATTTTATTCTTGTGTGGAAAGGAAATATTTTCAAATACCAGTACTTGGAAATGTGTGAATGCGGAAGGATTACTAAATAAATCTGGAGTTGTGACTCAAAGGATTATAGACCCAAATTTGAGAAAAGGAGGGAAAATGAGAAAAGACAAAAGATGTAGAAGTGAGAAAGGTTAAATAGATCTTCTGTTAAGCAAATATGGACCGTTAATTTTCTAACCTTTCTTATTTTTTTTTCTATCTTTTGTCCTTTTTCTCCTTTCCCTGCACTTGGGTTTATAATTTTTTGATTCACAACTACAGCTTTATTTAGTATTTTTTCCAACGTCGCAAGATTTGGCTACGTTACGCCAAATGTGGCTTTTTTGTTTGACGTAAAAAATATCATTTGGCGCTTTGGCTGTGTGAGATCCAGCCTGGGGTACAGGGTAGGTTGTTACTCCTGTATCACTTACTAGGCAGCTAGTCGGTGAGACCAGTTCTCGGTCGTCCAAAGAACGGCCTTTCCCAAACGTAGGGAAACAAGTGGCGGAGGGTCTTTTGTTAAGCCGAATATTTAAGGTGGAAGTTGGTGATGGCGAAATCACCTTCCTTACGTCAGGTTCCCCACACCAGTTTGTCAATTTATCGATCCGCGGACAAACACGCCTGCGATTGCTTTATAGATCTGATTCAGACTCGAATTAAGAGACATATTTTATATAAAACAAACAAGAGTAAATTTAATGATTGAATATAAGTAAAACAAATACAAATATCAATGAACGAGGGATATAAATACGACAATTCAGATACACGATATATGGACTTATATTATACCCTATGCGCGATCGAGAGAGAGAGCTCACAAAATCGTTAGAAACATACAACCTGTTTTCGTTGTCGTTCGTCTTCTTCTCTGTAGGCAAAGTACACTTTGGAGATAAAGTTCATTTACTTCTTCCCATCGGAGATCGATATGTGCACAAAGTCAAAGTTAAACTTCTAAGTGTTAATTCGGGAATTCTTTTATGTGACTCGTCTAAGGGCGTTGATCATCAGGAGGAAAACATGTGGAGTTCGGACACCTCCAGCTCTGTCGATGAACTCCTTGAATTCTGACAAATTTCCTCTATATGTCACGATCGGCGACCAATCATCATGCAAAGATTCCTCCGTGAGAACGGATGGAAAGGGGGATATGTGAGGGGTAAACATTTCCCATCAAAGCGAGAATTTTCGCAGATAAGGGAAAAACAGAGAATGTACTAACTTCTGTGAAAGGAAGTAACATCTGTTANAAGTAACTCGTTTTGTTAATATCGATGAGTGCCTGCGTATTTCTTAATAAAGTTGTTCTTAAACGAAGCAAATAGCCGGAAATAAAAAATCGTTCGTAACTTTTAAACGGTTGATCGTAAGTAAATTTTTTTAACACCAATCGATTCAGCGTGTCAAATTACATCTAGATATGTCTATGTCTATTCGTTAATATTAAGTTTAAGACCTTTTTTTAGCTGGATACCTTTTCCTTTACTCTAACCAAATTCTTTTCCCCACGAGGGAAGTGTTATACATTTATAATAGATACATTTTGAGCCACAACAACGCGTGGGCGTGGTCTGCTGGTAAAATTAATAAAGGTGACGGGTTGTGACGAAGGCCGAAGTTTCAAATTCAACTTTGACCGGTACATATAGGAAGTTGAATGCCCAAGTTAAGTGAAAGAAAAAATTTCGCTTTGTAATAACTCAAAAAATAGCGGGCCTTGAGCCATGTTCGAAATACAGTGAAACTCGTGCACATTTTTTTGAACACAAAACTTCTTTTTTCATTTTTTATGGAAAGTTAATCATGTATACATCAATCAGGGGATACAACGTTTATTTTGTACACTTGTTTTTTGAAACCGTGTCCTGTTTTATATTTGTGGCGTAGTAAACACTAGTATTGTGTTTTATTCCAAAGACACATGGTAAATATTCCATTGAATTCCTTTATTAGTTGAGTCGATACGGTACATTGTTTCGTACTCGTTTCGAGCTTAGCCACTCTTACAAGTTGACTGAAGTGGGGCAAAGCCCGAAACGAGTACAAAACAATGTACTGTATCGACTCAACTAATAAAGAAATTTGATGAAAAATTTGCCATGTGTCTTTGGAATAAAACACAATACTAGTGTTTACTACGCCACAAATATAAAACTTGGCTACTATTATACTATTTTAGATGCAGGTTTTTGCGTTTTTGATTGCGTTTTAATAGGGTACGTCAACAGAATGTACACTAAGAAAAGATTTTTCGAAATATTTTCCTCTACGGGGGAAGTGTTATACATTTATAATAGATACATTTTGACCCACAACAAAGCGTGGCGGGGTCTGCTAGTAATAACATAACAAGATTTAATAAAGATAACAAACGAATACAACAATTAATATATTTTAAACTAGCTTTTATCCGCGACTTCACCCGCGGACGTTTTACAAGCAAACCATATTTATATTCAATATTTCAACTACCATAGAAATTTTATATAACACCTACCGCTGAAAATGATGAGACTTGCTCAAAAATAAAACAAACTATTTTCAACTTGATCAATTTTCTGAAACTTTTTCAATCGTTTTATGATCGAACCAATATGAAGTAACAAATTCGAATTTAAAACGGTTCGAACATTCTGTTGAAAAATCGAAATATATAAAAACATTTATAACAATGTCTGAAATGTTATAAATATAATACACCTAAGTACTTAATGAAAATTAAACGTAGTTGGAAACAACACATCACATTTAAAATATTACACTAAAAGCCGTTTTTCCAGTTAAGACTTAATGCTCTCCCTCTCCCCCCGCTTGGGAATTTCGAAAAATCCTTTCTTAGAGTGCGTTTCCATGACGTACCCTAACAGCGTACCAAATTTCACTTCTTTAGGTTCAGCGATTTGCTCTGGACGATGATGAATCAGTGACTCAGCCAGTCAGTCAAGACAAGTAATTTTATATATTTAGATAGCTAAATCCCTAACGTACGCGTGAGAGAGGGTTTACATGGATATTAAACCGTACTATCTTAATTGTAAAACTCGGTCTGCAGTTCAGAGAGGAACTGCAGGTCTTCTGAACTGAATATCTTCTACATAAGTTCTTACCAATTAAAATATCTATTCCAGGATTTTTCTACGCAGTCATATCCTACTTAACTGCCTTATTCTATATGCGGCCTATTCGCTTAAGGGCTGATGTATGGAGTTAACTTCACTCCTCTGTGCTATGTGTCGAGATTCATTTTATGGAGGACAATATGAACTTCATTTTGTGGAAGTTGGTGACGAACTCCGAACTATGGAGACAAGTTTCCTCTTGGGTGGCTACAGTTGAACTCTCTGATCACAGTATGTAAATTGATATATGAAATATCACTGAACCAATCAAAATATAAGCTTTTCTGTTGTAAACGGGATGTTTGGAGAGGAATAAAGAAAAACAAACGCAGATGGTTGTCTAACTTTCAAGATAAGAGTTATGTGAAAGAAAGTTTATTTCCTCCCTTTTTCAAAATGATTAATGCAATATCATTTTTTGTGAATAATTATTTATCTAAATGTAATACTTAATAATCTAAATATATAAAATTACTTGTCCTGACTGACTGACTGAATGAGTGACTGAATGACAGATTCATCATCGCCCAGAGCAAACTGCTAAACCTAAAGAAATGAAATTTTTTACACAGTTAGGGTACGTCGTGGAAACGCATACTAAGAAGGGATTTTTCGAAATTGCCAGGCAGAGCAGTGAGGAAGAGAATTAATACTTAACCGGAAAAACGGCTTCTACTGTACTGTTTTAGTTGCGATTTTTTGCTTTTATTTGCGTTTAATTTTCGTTGAGTACTTAGATGTGTTAAATTGATAACATTTCAAACATTGTTATAAATATTTTCATGTATTTCGATTTTAAAAATGTGTTTTAAATTCGAATTTGTTATTGCATATTGGTTCGATTATAGAACGATTGTAAACGTTCCAGAAATTTGATCACATTGAAAAAATTTCGTTTGATTTTCGGCAATTTTCATAATTCTCAGCGGTAGGTGTTATATAAATTAGTGTTTGCAAAATCCTTGCGGGCGAAGCCGCGGGTAACAGCTAGTATTTTAATAAAAATGAAGTTCCTCAGATTGCGGATATCAAACTTTTATGAGATAGGATACATAATTATTAAGCTGTAATTTGAGACAACTGTAAGCCTATGAATACGTACTGTCGATTGACTCTCTGTCTGTCATTCCTTAATTTGAATAAAGAGGTGAAATATACGACGAATGAGACAAGCGGTAAACATCTTGTGCACGTGCAGCCCTGAACAACGATTTACGAATTTTCGTTGAAAACCAAAGTCATATTATTTCAATTCAAATATTTTCCCCTGAAACGTATTAGATAGATGACCGGCACGATTGTAATGTTAAATTAAAAGTATGATGTACAGGGGAAACCAAACACTAATTTCAGTCGAGGGCTTATATTTTAAATCAGGGCTGTCCAACTGGCGGCCCGTCAAATAATTTTTACTGCCCGCGAGTACATTTTACTATGAATAAATTTATGTTACTAAATTATTATTATTAATATTAAAATTATTTTACTACCGTGTTTCCCCGAAAATAGTTCGAGAATTGGGAACATCCCCATACAACA